TATATATATCTTATTTTAAGTTACAAGTTCAAAAAGTGTTGCTTTTTATTTCTATTTTTAAACGAGTGAGTATTCGACTGTAAGCACATACTACACCTACTAGTTATACAGCCTCCATGACCAAATTTCAATTGTAACAATTTCTTAAAGATTATTTAGTTCATTTCCATAACTTCTCCCAACATTAAACATCTTACTATAACATCAAATTACCTCAAAATTTCAAAGTCTATAGTTCAATATCTTCCGGTCAACTCTACCACCAAGCTAATAATCAAAATTCTCACAAACTAAACCGAATCAGCCAAATCCATTTCTGGGTTTTGATCTTCATACATCAATCTCAAATGGGTCGGAAGCCAAATGATTCCGAACCCACACGTTATGCCACTATGATCCTTCTTTTAATGGGTCTTGTTTCTTGTACTGCCGTGTACATTTTCATGTCGGCGGTTATGAGACCAGCCGGAAGTTCGGTGGTTGAGCGGTTAGCGGCGGAGGAAGGTGAATTTAGCGGTGGCGGTGGTGGTGAAGGGGAGGGTGAATGTTGTAGTGGAATCGAAAGTTTTGAGCTTTGGGGAGCTGCTGTAAAGTGGGGTTCTGATTTTAAGGTTAATAGTTCTAAAGAATGTTGTAATGCTTGTAAGGCTATGTGTACGGGTAATCATGGACCTTGTCTTTGTGATACGTGGGTTTTTTGTGGAAATAAAAAGTTTTGTGGTGACAAATTTGGTGAGGTGAGTTTGAAAAATCTTTTCTTTCTTTCTTCCTATATATGGTGTTTTTAGTTGTAAGTTATTGGCAGTTTGAAATGATTTATATGCTTAACTCTGATAAATCATACAAAGTTTGAACCTTTACTAACAATAACGGACCAGTGTAATCCCACCGGTGGGGTGTGGGGAGGGTAGTGTATAGGCGGCCTTATTCCTGTGTTGCGAAGGTAAAGATTTTCCGATAGACCCTCGGCTCAGGACAAAGTTTGAACCTTTAATTATGAAATAACATACAATTGTAATGCAATAAACATGATTTAGTGAATTGTGATGTTGGTGCTTGAACTAATAACAGAAGTGAGCTGTGGCGATTTGCAGCACGTTGTTACTGTGATTTAATTGTCCACTCTTTCCTTTTAGAAGTGCTTTTCTTGTGAATTAGCTAGAAATGCTTGCCTCAGATGTTGTAGGGTGTCTGCAGATATGATAAAAATATTTACTTTCGGCATTTATATAAAATAGCTACTGAGTTTTTCAGCTGACCATAATTGCTAGTAATGTGTTTCAAGGAACATAACCAAACGCAACTCAACCACATGACCTGTTTTTTTCCCGGGAATCAGGAGAATTAATGAGAAATTATCAGAATTAACCTCTTTTGCCCTAATGATTATCAAGAAAGGAGGTCGACTGGGGAAGGTTTCAAAACCAATCAATTGGGCCTTCCAGAATAAAGTTTTGAAGGCTAAAGCTGTTAACTGAAGTTATGAAAGCTAAAAGCTATTGCCCATTTATAATAGTGACTGAACACTGAAGCAGGGCTCAGTTTGAGAGAAGCCCTCATGTACTTATATTTGGGCATCTCTTAGTTCTGCATTCCTTTTAGATTAGATTGTTTTAATATATTTTTTGTTGGCATTTTAAGTTATTTTATGAACTAACATACACCATGTAAATTAGAGTTTTGACTGTTTGGTCTGGCATGTCTTGCTCGGTGATGTAGTGCTGGTTGAAGAAGCAGAAAGATACTTTGGCTCCTGATAGACAGGAAGCAGGAAACAAGGTTATGTGGACGTCAGGCATTGTTTTTGGGAAAGGAGAGGTATGCAACTTTCTCAGCAAACTAATATGCTATCTCCTTATAGCTCTGGACATTTTGATAATATTCATGGTTTAACTGCTAAAATTTCTCTTTCAATCCCACTGCTTTTAGGGAATTGTCGCCTTGGAAACTGAATTTGGTGATATTCACGTCAAGGTATGTTCTATTTTTTGGTGAATGCATACTTCCCTATATCTTGCCAGTTGCCACAGACAAATGGCAGTTATCTAAATGAATTCTGCGCAGTTGCAACTCATTCTATAACTATATGGATTAACTTTTATGTTGCCTTTTGAATATCTCAGTTTAGATACAAGTGATTGGTGAAAAGTTCTCAATAGAATCCTGGCAATGAGCTGTCTATGAGGTTTAACTTTAATAGATGGATATTTAAATCGTATCTTCGCCAACATTGAGGTGTCTTTTAAAAAAATATAAGAAACAATGGTGAAAAAGTATCAATAAGTAAGGAATTAAAAGTAATGATTTGAGGAAGCACTTGCTTAAAAAGTTGATTTGCTGATCATGCTTGAAGTATTTCACGATTGCGCCTTTTCAAGTCTGCATGTTCCTATTTCTCAAACCTATAGGGTACGGTTTGTTACCCTATAGGGTACGGATGGGAGGGGATACAGTATGATTTTATACTGAAATTTAGCATCCATTAGATGTCGACACCGCTATATCACTTTTCAGAGTCACTATACTTGGCTTTAGTCTAGTCCTTTCCCTTAACCCGGATTTGCTAATTTCGTTTTATATGACTGTCTTGTATTTCTTCTTAATTTTCTGCAGCTTTTGCCAGAATGTTCCCCACGCTCAGTTTTTAACATTTTGGAGTTGTTGGGGGTGCGCCACTGTGCTGGTTGCCAATTTTTTCGTGCGGAAACTCGCGGACAAATTTGGGATACACATGGAGATCATATAAAAGATGTAAATGTTCATCTCTTTTCTACAGTTTTACATGTGACTTCTAATCTTAAACAACTTCATTTTGACTACATGAATAAGATAAATTATACGTGTGCTCCCCCCGTGTCTCAGTTTGGCTTCTTTGGCTACGTAGAGGGATTAAGAATAATTGCTCATTTAATCACCTTCAAACTCCCTCCATCCCAAATTATATATCGATATTCCCATTTTTCTTCAAATTCAATCAATATACTTTCTTCAAAACAACTTTTTAAGTTTTACTTAAATATTTTCTTCCA